CAGCTTCTCTGTGTGTGGCGTGGATGCCGGTTGCAGCACACAGTGTGCGGCTGTACGCGGGAGGCGGCCGCCCCGGCATGGCTTGCGGCAAAGCCATTTCCTTCCCTGCTCAAGGCGACCCCACGCTGCCGCTGGGGGGGGGGGGGTGGGCAGCGATGGCCGCAGGGAGCAGCTCCCCTGTGTGGGGCAGCAGGTGTGTACGTGCCCTCGGTGGCAGCCACCTGAGCGCTGCACACCTGGGGCGGGCAGGTTCAGACCCCTTGTGATGGCCTGGTCTGGGGGGACCCGCAGTCTCCCTCCTGCCCCCCCTCCTCTACGGGGAGGCTCCGGCCCCTTTTCTTCCTGGAGAATGGGGCAGGGGGTTGCAGATCAGCTCAGCTCAGCCCCCTCTCAGCCCCATGTTCCACTTCTGGCGGGAGCAGCAGGCTGGCCTCAGGGCAGGGCGCGGTGAGCAGGGCATGTGCACCAGCCGGAGCACCCTCAGGGCGAGCTCCCCCGCAGCGGCCATTGGGGGCACCGGATTCCACCCGAATGAAGGCCCCCTCCTCCTCGTCGGTCCTGAACGTGCCGCCGTTTCTTTGCACCAGGGCCCATTGGGGCCAAGTGCGCATTGGGGAGCACCCAGGCTGCCTGCAGCCTTGCCTCCTGCCTCTGGAAAGGGGCGCCCGGCTGGGTGCTCTGGGTGCGCTGGTGGGGTGGTTCGGGATGTCTGGCCCCGCCGGCGTGGGGCCTTGCGCGGGGTTCATCGAGCAGCCTTCCCGCATCCTGGGAGTGTCCTCGAAGGCCTTCGGCCGCGGGCCAGCGCGATCTTTGCACTGCCAGCAGACGTCTGGCGGGCAAGAGGGGAGTGGGAGACGGGAACACGGACGAATCTGCGTGGGCACGGGGTGAGCTGCTGGCGTGAGGCCGGGCGGCCCCGCCTGCGTTCCGGGGCCCATGCGCCCCCACGGTCACTGGAAGCCCCGCGGTTGTGGAGCAGGATGTGACTCACCAGCTCCTTTGATGTGGGTGCCAGGGGTGTGCGTGGCGGGGCAGGAGGCCCCCCCACATAATGCTTCAGACTGAGGAGGGGCGATTGCGTCACTTGCTGAGCTGCAAAAGCCAAGTTGTGCCCCCCAGCCTCCCGTGTGCAGAAGGGGATGTGGCTGAGCAGGTCTTGGTGTTCATGGTTCACGTCAGACCCCATTTTGCGTGACCTCGTTGAAAAACCAGCCAAACCGGCACATCAAAGCGGGTGTTGAGGAGAGCAGCAGCTTCTCCCTGCCCTGATGCCGGGGCTGTGGGGACGGGATAAAACGCCCCCGAAACCCCCCTTTCCCTCCGCCTCCTCGTGCAAGACGGGGTCCCCCAGCTGGCGCCTCGGCCCTAAGATGCAAAGCCCGACCACGTGAACTCCGCGGCCTGCAGACAATGGGACAGCTGTGTGGGGCTTAAGCCCGAGCCGGGGGTTGCGCTCGGGCTCCAGGAGAGCCCTTCGGGGGACTCGGCTGCAGAGCGCCTGGCTGGCTGGAAGGGCACCTGTGCCTGCGTCTGGGTGCCTCTCCGGGCCGCCTGTAGAGGCCTCCGGGCACCTTTTCCATGCGTGCTGCGCGGCCACAGGAAAGTCCTGCGATTTCCCCTGGAGGTGGGGCTTGCTGGTGACGCTGCCCCAGGCTGGGCTGCCTTCGCCAGTTCCCTCCGGCCTGCCGTGTTCCCACCGCTGGCGTGTGCAGGCCACCAGCCCTCGCCCCAGCGCGGCACGTCGGAATGAGCCTCGCCCTGCTCTGGGATCCTCCGCCAGGGCCTTGCGCACGCTGGCCGAGGAAGCCCTCCCTGCGCCTCCCGCTGGCCGGCTGCGCAGCGATCCCGTGGGGTCCTGATATTACAGGGCGGGGGAAGGGTCTCGCAAGCACACCGGGCACCGTTTTAGCACAGCCTGCCCTGTCTTGTGAAGCACCGCAGTCCAGGCGCCCCCCCCCCACAAGCTTGCCCTCTCCTTGTCTGGGGCCGGGCCAGCCTGCTGGGGGGGACAGGGGGGGCTCGGCCATGTCGAAATGGCGGCACCCAGAGAGGAGAGCTCCTGCCGCCTGTTTTCTGCCAGAGGCTGTTGCTAATTGACCAGCCTGGGAAAAGCGCGAGCCACGCTCGGGGGGGCTGCAGCGAGAATGTGGGCCAGGGGAGCTGGAGTCGGGAAGGGCCAGCATGCCAAGGAGCTTTGGGGGTCAGGCTGCGGCTGGCCCCCGGGTGCGCCGGGGTGCCCCGGCTCCTCTGCCTGTGCTGCGCCAGCCTGCGCCGGCTTCCCCACTTGCCAAGGCTCTTGCGCGGTGCCCCTCAGAGAGCGGCCCTTCGGCTGCCATGCGCATCGCGGCGCAAACAGTGGCCCCGGGGTGCAAGCCCAGTGGGTGCTGGAGCCCGGGCAGGCCTGGCTTCCAGAGGCCTCCCCTGAGGAGGGGCTGGGGCGAGTCCCCCCTTTGCCCCGGAGGAGCTTCGTGGCCCTCCAGGGCCGCATGGCTGGAAGTGCCCCTCCCAGTGGTCTTGTCTGACTGCCACGTGTGCCCGGCCTCTCCCCGGGGGCTGGGGGCCCCCGTGGCCTCGACTCGCCAACCCGGGCTCCGACCTGGGGAGCCCCTTGCTGTGGGAAGCAGGGCTGTTCCGCCGCGCAGGCTGTGCTGGCGTCCCCTGTGGATGCAGCCGGCCAGGGCGGAGGAGCGCTGCCTCTCCTGCCGGCGACCCGGGAGGCCCACGAAGCGCTGCAGCTGGTCCCAGAGTGCCCCCCACCCCCGTGCCGGGGGAGGCGTGTGGGAGCCGGCGAGCTGACTCTGCGGAAAGCGTGTTTGCGCCGAGCGCTGGCCTGCGGAGCGGCCCCTCGCCCGGCTTCCGGAGCTGCTTGCGCAGCCCGGCCCGTGTTCGGACGCGGTCCCGCCCCCATTTTCGCAGCTCTGCGCGGCCTGTGCTGTGGGCGGCGTTGGGTTTCGCAGAGGGGAACCGGCTGTGGGGGCCGTTCGCCCAGGGCAGGGCCTGGCGTGGGCATCTGCCCCGGCATGCGCAGGTGCCGCCCGCCTCCCCAGACTCGCGCCAGGCCCTCCGTGCTTCCTGTGCTCCTGGGCCTGGCCGCATCCTGCGCGAAACTGGCCGATGTGTGAACACGGCCCGCTTGCTTTGGCAGCGGCTTCTCCCAGACGGAGCACCCACCCTCCTCTGCCTGACTCACTCACTCACTTTCCTCTCCGCCCGCTGCTCCCAGGCTGCTGCGGAGGCGGCCTCCGAACACCCTTCCCTGGCATGTTTTGCACCCCGCGGGGCCGGCTCGGCTCGCCCGCCTGCCCGCCCGCCTGCCTGCCTGCCTGCCGGTCCCAGCACAGGCTCTGCCTGCCTTCTCATGCCGGCTGCTGCTGTGGGGCTGCCATACCCAGTCCCGGAAAGGTCCTGGGGCTTGTGCGGCACACCTCCTGGTCGCGCGGGGCTCTGGTGGGTCCGGGGGCACCACCACACGGTGGCCTCTCCCATGAGTTGCGGTTCCACAGGGCGACTTGCTGCACTGGGAGACCCCTCAGCTGCCCGTGTGAATGCACGGCAGCGTGGAGCTGGCCAGACGGCCCGGCCCTGTGGGCGCAGCCCACGCACTGGCGGGGGAGGATGGGCGCTCGCACTGCCCCGTGATGCAGGGACTCGTGAGGCCGGGCTGCCTGGGGCCGGGCTTGCTCACTCTGAATTTCTGGGCCTGCTGGAGCCGCGGCCGCCTGCTGTGTTCCTGATTTGCTCTTCAGCTGTTGCCAGAAAGAGCACCAATGAGCTGGCAAAGGTGCAGAGAAGGGCAGCTGAAAGGAGGCCGGGGTGGAGGAAAGGCTATCTCAGCTGGGATTGTTTTGCTTCGGAAAAGGGCGAGTCCGGGAGCCGTGGCAGAGGGCTGGGGCTACGCCTGGTGCAGAGAAACATAGAAACAGAGCGAGTCAGAGGGGCCTCCCGGGCCATCTAGTCTGACCCTGGCTCCAGCCGTCTCCGCTCACGCCGTGCCCGCCATCGCACGGCCAGCCTGTCCTTGCAGGCGGAGAGCGAGGCGGTTCCTCCCTCCCTCTGCTGTCGTGCCAGAGCTGGGGCTGCCCCTGGAGCTGAGCTGCTGGGCGGGGGGTTCAGGGGAGAGCAATGGATGGGGCCGCCTCGCGCGCCACAAAGCGCTTCCCTGCCCCAGGAGGGGGTGCCAGCTGCCGCCCGGGAGCCCTCGAGGGGCTGGACAAGTTCCTGGAGGAGGCGGCAGTCAGTGGCCATTGGCCTGGCTACACACCACCTCCGCCGCCAGGTGCAGCACACCTGCGCACACCCGTTGTGGAGGAACTGGGCAGGCAAACACTTGTGCCCCCCGCTGGAGGGCATGCCAGACTGGATGGACCCCGGCCTGGTGCTCGGGCTGTGGGGCGATCGCCCGGTCCCCTGGCCTGCTGCCGGCGCCTGGGTTTTCTTCTCATTGGAAGCGCTCCGGGACAGTTGGAGTGCTGTGAGCCGAGGAGGCAGGCCCGATCCTGCCTCAGGGCCGAAAGGAGCCACAAGGCCCCCCAGCGCTGGGGCACCCGGCGCAGCACACGCTTCTCTCTCGCCTCCCCTGGGCTTGTGGGGTCCGTGAGGCCCTGGTGCACCTGCACTGCGGAAGCCGGCCGCTTGGCTTTCCGCTGATCCAGACATGGATATGGTGCCAGCTGGCCAGCAATGGTGTTTGTGGCAGTTAACAAACAAAATACCGGGACACGAAATGGGATCGTGCCCTGTAAGAGGCCCGGAGCCGACAGATCGGAAGCAGCCGGTCCCGGGGCGCATTCCACCCTTGAACTCGTCTGCTATCTGCTCCGCCACCGGTGGCTCCCGCCCTTCCTGCCTTCCCTGAGCAGGTGTTTCCTGCGCGCTTTGAGGTGCGGCTGGAGGGACGGGGCTGTGCCGAGGTTTCTAAAAATGCCCCGAATGCTGCTGCATTGTGTGAGCGAGGCGGAGGCCTCGGGAGCCAGACTCGGGAACCTGCTGTGGGCCGGGCCATGGGGGAAGGGGCCGCCCGCTTGGGCCCCGTGCTGCCGCGGCTGGCCTCGCCGGGGCAGAGGCGCTCTGCGGCATTCCGGAGCGTGGCCTGCCCCGGCGGCAGCGGTGCGTGTGTCTCATCTCCTCCCGTCTCTGCCCGCAGGTGGTACAAGCTGCACTCGAAGCCCGGAAAGAAGGAGAAGGACCGTGGGGAGGTCCAGCTGAGCATTCAGTTCACCCGCCACAGCCTCACCGCCAGCATGTTCGACCTGTCGGTCAAGGAGAAGCCGCGGTCACCCTTTGGCCGGCTGAAGGACAAGGTGACGGGCAGGCAGAAGTACGACCTGGAGTCCGCCTCCGCCATCGTGCCCAGCAGCAGCGGGGCCCTGGACGAGGAGCTCGGCCCGGCGGGCAAGAAGGCCAAGGCAAAGAGCTTCTTCTTCAGGAGCAAGCTGCGCAAGTCCTCCCTGACCCAGTCCAACACCTCCCTGGGCTCCGACAGCACCGCCTCCTCGGCCAGCAGCGTGGCGCCGGGCGGGATGCCTCAGTCGCCCAGCCGGCACAGCAGCCTCTCCACCGACCCCTCGGGTAAGCGGGGGCGGCGCGGCCAGAGCTGCCTTGTGCCGGGGCCGTTCCTGCGGGGAGGTCCAGTGAGGGGCACTGCTTTGGCCGGTCCGAGGTTGGGGGGGCACCGCACGGGCTCCGTGGGGGACCTCTCGTGGCACCGGCCGCATTCCTAGTCTGCAGGGAGGTTCCCTCAAATCGTTTTCCTAATTTTGTAGCTGCCCTTTTCTGTTTTGCTTGGCTCTTCCCGCAGATGACTAACCCGAAAACACTGTGTAGTGCAAAAATGCCTTTTAAAGCTGAAATGCTCGCAGTTTTTAATGCTGGCCTTCTGGCAGATGTGAGCTGGGATGGAGCAGACTGCAGAGGCGATGCGAGCTGCCCACGAGGCCCTTGAGCCGCAGCGGCCTGACTTGGGCTGCGGCTCCGGGCCGGTTGGAGCCCTGCCAGGGATCCCAGGAAACCCTCTGGATCCTGGGTCTGGCACTTGGAGTTGCCCCCCCTCCCCGCCAAGGCCATGTGGCCAGTAGGGCCAGCGTGGGGCAGAGAGTGGCTTAGCGGGCCAGCACGCCTCCCGTTCTCCCTGCAGCAGGGTGGCGCGTCAGGCCCAACCTGCGGGGACTGGCTGGCACCCCTGGCGCAGGGCCCAAAGCAGCGCAGCTTCAGGCTGCGCGTTGGCGTCCCTGAGGCCGGGGGCCCCAGCCCGGCTCAGGGCTCTTTGGGTGCTCGGCAGGAGAGCGCTCAGCAGCATGCGCGTGGCACAGCGCCAGGGCCCAGGCCTCCCATGTGCTCACAGCACCAGTGTGCCACTTGCGGCGGGGCGGCTGCCCTGTAGGGCATCTGGGCCAGGGCCTGGGCCGGGCAGGGCCTCTCTCGGGACGGCACAGCTTGCCGTGGCTCGGGGCCATCCAAGGGGGTGGGCGAGGCAGGGAGGCGCTCTGGGGACAGCTGGTGGGTGGTCCTAACCGGCCCCCTCCTGCCCTTCCAGCGAGAGACTTCCTGCCCTCGCCGAAGCTGACCCACAAGCGGGCCTTCAGCGACGAGGCCTCCCAGATCGGCCTGCTGCCGGACGCCAGACGGGCCCAAGGTCTGACGCCACAGAGCGAGCCCGTCTCCAGGTCGTCGCTCTGCATCAACGGGAGCCACATCTACTGCGAGGAGCCGGCCCCCAGGCCCGCCGGCCTCCCCCCGGCCCAGAGCAGCGCCCACCGGCCCAGCCAGGCCTCTGTCCCCGGGCCGTGTGTCCCCGAGCCGGACCTGCCACCCTGGCCCGGCAGCAGCGCCGGCGGCTTCCAGAAGGGCCCCCCCCAGGGACCCGCCCCGGTTCATCCCCTCGCCCCCGATCCTGGCGGCTCAGGAGGAGGACAAGCTCTCCGTCAAGACCATCGCCCTCAACCGGCAGCGGGGCTGGGCCAAGGCGGCGGAGGGGCCGGGGGCGCAGAGCAGGCCCGTCCAGATCGCCGCGCCCCTCGTCTTCTCTGCGGAGGTCCGGCGGGTGAGGCCCCGCGGAGGTGGCCAGGAGGAGGAGGAGGACGAGGCACAGCGGGGCGGGGCAGGCTCCCTCCGCCGGGCGAGCGGCAGAGACAGCGGGGAGAGTGGCGGAGCCGCCCACGAGGGGCCCGCGGAAGCGGCCGCCGGGGAGGAAGAGGGGCATGCCGGCGCCGGCCTCAGGCCTGGCTCGCCCGACAGCGAGGAGCCCGCCCGGGTACCCAGGTGAGCACGGGGAGTGCGTGTTCTCCCCTGCGCCGCAAGGGGGGCCCCGGCTGCTGGACTCCTGGGGGCTTGTCGGGCTCTGCTGTGGCAGTGGCCCCCGAGAGGGGCTGGGCGGGGGGAGGCGGAGCCTCTGCGCTGCTCAGCGGTCTTCCAGTGGGGTGCCCCGCTCCGTGCCCCCGAGGGGCTTCTGTTCATGGCTAGGTGGGGGGAACAGATGGGGGTTTGGAGGCCAGGCGGCCACATGGGCCAGCTTGGCCTCGGAAAAGGCTTTGCTGAGGCCGACTGGAGGGATGGGCTGCAGTGGAGGGGGACCGTTTCTGACCCGGGGGCTGGATTGACTCCTGGACCCCCCGGTGGCCCGGCTGCTGTCCGGCTGGCACGTGTCCCTCCATGGAGGGTGTCCATGCGGCCTTCCTCCGTGCAAGGGCGGGTGGCGCCCGAGGCGGCTCGGCCGAGGAAGGGCTCGGCTGTGCCCCGGAGGAGCGGTGCTTGTGCTCTGCCGCCATCCCAGCCAGGGCGCTCGGAGGGCTGCTCGCTCGGCACCATGAGGGTGCACTCCCTGCCGTGGGGCACGGGGAGGTCTGAGGAACGGGGGCTTAGTGCCGGAGCTCAGCGGGGGCGTAGCATGGGGGCCAGGAGGTTGGTGCCCTGGCGGCGGGGGCCGCTGGGCATGAGCTGGGCCTGCCGTCTGTGAGCAGCCCCCTTAGTGGGCCGCGGTTTGCTTCCCCGACTCTGAGCGGAAGGAGGGGAAGGCCAAGCCGCGAGCTCAAAGCACCACCACATCCGGGCTCTGGGGGCTTTGCGGTTCTCTCCCAGACCAATTTTGCCCCCGAAGCGCTTCGCCTTCTGCGTCGCCCGCATGGTTCTGCACGCCAAGCAGCCCGCGTGGCAGAGGGTCCCCGTGGCCGGGAGGGACTCCCTTCCCGGCATGTGGTGCCAGGGAGCAAGACCCCGCTGGGGTGTAGTGGTGTGTGGGGAGGGTGGAGGGGAGTCGCCTCCACCCCACAAGCAGTGGGGCAGGGCAGCCAGTGCCGGTCACCTTGGAGCCCAGGCCGCCCCACATTCTGTGCACTTTCTTTATGCTCCACGTTTTCCCAATGCAAGGAAGGACCACACAATGCGTGTTTGTGCTCCGGCTCGGAGGTGCGACTGGGCAGGACGGAGCCGGGTGCCATCAGAGCGGAACGCCACGTGTCCCTCGGCATCTGCCCCGGGCGGGGCGGGGGGGCTCTCTGGCGCCAGAGTGTGTGTGTGCAGGCTGCCACGGGGGCCCTTCCGGAGGGCCGGCATGGGATGGGCCCCACGCTGCTCTGGGGAGCGAGGAGGGGCGCCGGCAGTCGTGGGTCGGACAGGGCTTGGGCTCCGCCTGGACCCAGGTTCCGGCACGCTGCAGGGCCTCCCTCCCACCGGCCAGTGGCGAAGGGCCGGCGAAGATGGGGGGAGCCCGGGCCGACCCCCTGCTGGGGCAGCGCCTGCGTGTCCAGCCGTGCTGCGCGGCACGCCCTGGGCCACGCACGCCTGCTGCAGGCCCCCGGTGGATCGGTCGGGTTGCGTCCGCCAGCTGCGGGTGGGAGGACCGAGGGCACGTGCCCAGCACCCGGGACGTCGAGCCTGAGCCAGAGGCCCTGCCGGACCCGACCAGGCGGTCCCCGGAGGCTGTGCGGGAGGCCTGCGCCCTGCGGTGCGCCGGATGCTTCGGTGCCTGGAAGAATGCGGTCCCTGGGGTGCCGCAGAGGCTGGGCAGGCGGGACAGCGCCCTGCTTTCCGGCCGCAAACAGTGTGGAGCTGCCTCGCCCGCAGGGCTGCACCTGAGCTGCCGGGGCTGCTTGGGCACTTGGCGCGGTGCAGGCTTCCGCTCGGAGGCTCGATGGTGCCGCGAGAGGCCCGTTCCAGGGCCCGCGGCCTGGGAGCCCCGGGTCGGCCTGTGGCAGAAGGGCCGCCGTGGGGCGGTGGCAGCCAGCCGGCCCTTCAGCGTGCTGGTCAGAAGGCCTGGGCGGCGCTTCCATCTTCCCCCCAGAACGCTTTCCTGCTTTCAGGCAAGATTGAAGCGCGTGCGAGCGCGTCTGGGTCTCAGGGGCACTTCTCCCACACGGCAGCTGGGCTGGAGTGTCCACGCCTCCCTCCGTCTTCCCCAGTCTTCGGAGCTCAGGGCAGCCGCAGCGGGTGAGAGCTCTGGGGCCTGCAGGCCGCCACATGGGTGGGGAGGGGCCGAGCCGGGGCACGGGGGGGGTGCCGCCATTCACCTGCTGCGCCACGAGGGCCCGGCACCAGGGCCTCCGCCCGTGTTCAGCAGCATATCCGTGCTTCCGGGGACGGGGGCTCCATGACTGAGGCCCGGGAGTGGGCTGCCGCCACCTGCCGAGGCTGGTGAGGCACGGGGGGGGGGACCTGGGGGGCTTTCTGGCCCGTGCTGGCCCTGTGGGAAGGGCGGGCGGTGTGGGTCGCCAGTCCGCCGCTGCTCCTTGCGCTCCCGGGCCAACCAGGCCCGGCGTTGCGGCGCTGGACCTGGGATGGGGGACGGCGGTGGGGCGGCAGGCGGACGTGGCTGGGGGAGCAGGGCCGGTGCCAGGGGAGGGCCCCACAGCCAGCGGGGCAGCTGTCTGCGTGGAGTCCCATGGCGGCTGTGAGCCTCAGGACAGGCCCTGTGCGACCCGCGCCATTCCCCGCACGCCCGCCGGTTTTGTGCTCCAGGAGAGCACTGCCGAGCAGGAGAGGCTGGCGGGGGGAAGCGCGTGGGGGGGGGGGGCCGGCCGGGGCCTCTCCTGCTCCCTCATGGCCAGGGCGCCCGGCCAGCGCGTTGCTCGCCAGACCACCAGTGAACAGGCCGCGCCGAATAGGTGGCCCGGCTGCTTGGTGCAGCCCCCCAGCTGTTTCCGTCCTGCTGGGAGGAGAAGGCTCGCCCTGGCCTCGTGGTCCCCAGGCAGGGAGGAGGAGGGCGAGGGGGTATCGAAGGGTGGCCGCCTCTGGTCCGGAGGGGCGTCTCGCCTTGCCTTCCGGGAGGGCTCCCCCTGCCAGGAGCTCGGTCTTTCACAGCAGCCCTCCACGAGATGACACCTCCCTTCTGCCGCCCGCTGTACTCCCGGGGCTCCTCTCCGAGCCAGCCCTAGTCCGCCGGGGTACACACGACGCCCGGGCCCCTTCCCTCGGAGGGCATCGCTTCCCGCCGCTGCTTGGACTGAGCCGCGCTGGCCGGCGTGCCGCCTGGTCTCCCAGCCCGGGGGGCTGCGTGGAGCCCCTGCGCTCTGCTTGCTGTCACGCCCCGGGCCTGGTGCCACCGCCAGCTGGGCCACGCTGCTGCTGCCTCCGGCGTTGGACACCTCGCTAAGCAGGTGGAAAACGCGATCCCAGAGCGCGTCCCCCGAGACCCACTGCTTGCACCGCTCAGTTGTGGGGGCGAAGGTGCCCCCGCCCTCTGCTGCCTGCCCTTCAGGGATTGCTCCCTGCCTGTAAATGGGCCCCGGGGCGCCTGCAGGGCCCCTCCCCAGCAGGCCCCCGGGAGGGTTTTGTGCCGCAGCACTGCAGCCCCAGCCAAGCTGAGGGGCTGTTTCTCACACAGGCCCGGGGCGGCGGGGGGGTGGGTGCCCCCCTTCCCTGGCCCAGGAAAGTACTGACGTTGGGCACCGCTGGACGTGCCGCAGCCTGCGGGTGGTCAGAGTCCGAGAATGGTGGAGTCGGAAGGGTTGCAGGACAGCAAGCCACCCCACCCCACCCCACCCGGGGGCTGTCCGGGCGCATGCCGAGCGCCTCCAGTGAGGGAGAGCCCGCCACTGCCCCAGCTCAGAGGCTCCACTGCCGCACTGCCCTGACTCTCAGGAAATCCCTGCGGTGCCTCGTCTCAGCCTGGTCTCTCTTCACCGAACTCCGCTATTCCGAGTCCTGCACTCTGGGCTGGACGAGACGAGAGCGTGTCCTTCCTCTTCGTGACCGCCTTCCGGCACTTGCAGCGTCTCCCCTCAGTCTTCCCTTCTCGAGGCTGAACGCGCCCATTTCTCTCAGTCCTTCCTCGCAGGGCTTTGCCTCCGGTCCCTGGGCCACCCTGGCTGCCCTCCTCTGCGCCCTCTCTGGCTGTCCTGCGTCTTTTTGAAACTTCGGTGCCAGAACTGGAGACGGGGCGCCAGGCGAGGTCTGGCTGGTGCTGGGTGCAGCGGAACTGGCGCTTGGCGTGCTTTGGAAGGGCTGCTTCTGCTACTGGAGCCCAAAATAGCGGCTGCCGCTTGTGCACCTGCATCGCACTGGTTAGTTTTTGTCTGCCGTGCAGCTGCGTGGCAAAGGCTGCCGGGCAGAAGCGCACGGAGGTCTTGTGACGGCTGCCTGATGGAAGGCGCCTGGGGGTTCCTGGGGGGCCCTTCTGGAAGGGGAGCAGGGCGCCGTGCCCTTCACCACCGCTCAGTCCCATGCAAGCTTCCGAGGAGGGTTCAGCTGCGGTCAGGCGTGTGCGACCCCCAGTCTTGCCCCGGTGGTCCCCGCGCATCACACGCGTGGCTCTGCTGCCCGTCCACAGCCTGGCGGGATCCCGGCGTGGCGGGAGCTCCTTGCGGGCCCTGCCTGGCGCTCAGGGCCTCGTGGACCGCCGTGGCGCTGCATCGGAAAGCCCCCCCTCCGCGCACCATTTCCTCTTGCAGCCTGCCGGAGAGGGGCCTGATCCCTCGCGCTCTCCCAGCCCCGTCCGTCCGTCCGTTTCTCTCCCTCATCCTTGTCTTTAAAAACGCCTCTGGAGACGCTTGCTCTGGCCGGCTGGCCCCAGCCCCCATACTGGGTCGGTGCTGCGGCTTTGAAGTGGCGCTCTCGGGGGGGGGGGGGATCCGCACCACTTCCAGAGGGTCACGTGCCCCTGGATGTGGGGACCGACGCAGCAGTCACATGCCAGAGGAAGCGAGGCCGAGGGAGGGCTGGGCGATCCTGAGGTCGGCGAGCGCATCAGGCTGGAGTGGGTGGAGGCGGCCGAATGCGTGGCCGCTTTGCTCGGGAGACCTCTTGCCGTGCCACGGCTGGAGGGAGGG